TCTTGAAGTCTTGAAGACTTCAAGACCACGGCCACGCAGCCCGAAAGACCCACACCAGCCATTGCAAGTCAACTGTTTACTTGCCAACTTACTGTTCAAATTTCTTTTCTGGAGTTGTGGCTTCTGTGTTGTTTTAAAATTTCTGCAAGGGAGGGTTTGTTCTTGTATCTGAAGAGTTATTTTCCGTTTTAGAAACGGATGGTGGCGTCCTTGAAGAAAACTCTGCAAGTGGCAGAGATCCTGATGTTTGGCATGTGGCCTTGAAAGTAGCTTGGGATATTCAGACTCCAGGCTTAGCAGTTCCACTTCGCCAGGGAGATTGCTACTTTATGCTAGGTAAGGTTCAAACGCAAAGTTAATGTTCATTCTGTATATTTTTTTAAAAATTCTGTTCTTATTCTCCTGGGCTTTTCTTGCAAAAAGGACTATAATCAATCTTTAATAATGGTCCAAGAATGAATATATTGTATATTTCAATCCTCAAGGGATAAGTCTCATTGCTAAACTGTAAATGGTTTCTTGGTCTTTACCTTAGCGTTTTAGGCGAATCAACCTAGTTATTTATTTATTTTATTTTATTTTATTTATTTATAAATCAAACTTGTATGCTGCCCATCTCACTATACAAGTGACTCTAGTTATGAATTAAAAACCAGGGTTTATTGTTGACCAAACAAACTGTGGTTAATCAAACTATGGGTTTCAAGCTACCTTTAAACTAAATTTCTTCTGATTCTGGAACAAGGGGAACTTTTCTATTGATAAATGATGTGATGTGACCAAAGTTGTGAGAAAATATCCAAAATATTCCCAAGATGATTAGCTGTGTTTCAGTCATAAAGTACGATGCTAAGCAAAAACACACACCAGAAAAAAAAGTGCATTATAGAGGTATACGTTATATGTGCAAATTAACTGCTTTCTATGTCATAGCTTTGCCCCTTGGGGAAAAACCCTGCCTATATCATACGGTGTAATGTACCCCAGAATTAGGTGTCAGATGTTGTATAAGGCAGAATCCAATGAAGTATCTTATGGCTTCATATAATGTGTGAATCTGGCTCACGGGTGAAATGAGTTATAGGTCCCTTTATGCATAATGTTGTATGGTGAATTTAAAAATTTGGAAGGGAATTAATGTTCACAACCCAGATTTTATCAATAAATATTTGAACATGTCCTAGCTATTTTTGACAACAGCGGTCCTCAAGTGGTATTTTGATACTGGTCAGCAAATCATTATCTGAAATGGAGCCTATCTTGGGGGAAGAGGCCTAACTTAGGGGTTGAACTCATTCTTTGCATTAAGGTCCTGGTATCTCCAAGAAGAGCTGGAAAGACCATTGAAGTCCTGGAGTACTGTTGCCAGTCAGTGCCAACACAATTAGGCTAAATGGGGCCATGATCTGGCTCAATGTAAAGCATCTTTCTATGCCAAAGGTCATAGGTTCAATCCTCAACATCTCCAAGAACAGCAAGAAAACTGCCAGAAGTTCTGAAATGTTGCTGCTGGTTAGTGTTGAGAATATTAGACTACGTGGACTCATGATCTCCCTGAGTTTAAAGTAGGCATTCTCCCCACATAAGCAAAACTGGAATTTGAAAGAAGTACGTCTAAATCACCCCTCAGCAGCAAGAATTGTGTTAATTGGTCTAATTCACAAACTCTAGATGTGCCAGTCCTGGAGACTTTGCTCATTCTAGCAGTGTTAACTTCCTCAAATATTTTTGTACTGTGAATACCATCAATGATGAATTTTGACAAACTGAATGGGGGAACCCACAAAAAGCCCACCTTTCAAAGAATTGGAAAGAGTGAATACATGTTTAGTATTTTATTGCACTTCTCCCCCCCACCAAAGAATTCCTGAGGTCTTCTGAGCTCTGCCACTGGGAATATAATAAGACTCTTTGTTGGACTGAGAGCACGTTGGGGGGAAGGTGTTAAAGTTGAAATTTTAAAGGTTAGTTCAACACCCGCTTCTTACGCTCTTCATTTTCTTTCTCTTTTTCTCTTTTCTTTTTCCAGGTGAATACCTGAACTTAGCATTTTGAACTGAGACCAGATAATCACTTCTTTCTGCAATGCACAATACGTACTGATGTCTCCCTTTTCAAAAGTAGATTTTTAAGTGGAAAGAATTGAAAAAGCTGTCCCCTCCCCCGGCCTCCCCATGCGGGACTTCTACAGAACCTTCTCCCCTATAAGTGATACCTGATCTTCACAGCTTTTGTGAAATGCTTTAGTTCCATTTGTTAAAAATTACTCTTCTGTCTGCTGGTAATGCACCCAAAGAACTTGATTATTTAGTTATTTGCTTGGTGATGGGAGAATAATATGCAATAAACCGGCAACGTGTTTATGGTGGTCCCCATCTATTCTACTTGACAGTGCACTGAAGCCAAGTTGTCCTACACCTTAGCACGTGACTGAAATCTCTTCCCTTCTGCTCCACCACCAAGAAATATACAGAGCCAGATTTTGTGAGCAGATTTACAGTGGTCGCTAATTTCCCCTTCCGTGACTTCTAAACGCATTGAAGCCGAATACACGTTGGGCCCGTTCAAAGTGGGAAGGCTGGTGTTGCCACAGCTGTTTCTTATAGATCAAATGTTGCTTGAAGGTTAGGGGTTTAAATGCAGCTTGAGGATAAATTCAGCTGGCCTCTCTTTTGTGGGGAGCGAGATGGAGTAAACATAATCAAGGGCCTGAGCGAATTATACTTCAAGGAATATCCAAATCTTTATTTCCATTAACCAGAAATTGGGAGCACCCTTGAGTAAAAATGAAGTGTGGTTGGAAAATTACAGCATTAACTGGGAAATCTTCAGTACAGATGTTCGTATTGCCTTCCAGTGGATTTGCTTCTGAAACTTGACCCCACTTTTGAGCTACATACTGTCTGTATCTATTTTTTCCTAACAGCCTGAGCCCCTGAAGTGTATTTATTGCTGCTTAACTTTGATCTTATGAGTTTTGTAAGCTTACAACTTCTTGTTCAGTTTTCTGTTGATTAATTACGTGAGGTTTCTCTCCCCATACTCTGTCCTCTTAAATCTACCTCTTCTGGCTACTGTAGAATTATTTCTTTTTAGGAGCAAATTCACTTTTTTATAGTAACTGATACTTCTGCTACAGTACCCCCAGAAACAGAATGGCCCCTGCCTCTGACTAAGACTTTTCCCAATTCTACCAATAGCTACCTAGAATAGACACACACTTTTGAAAGATGCACCTCAGTTCCTACAATAAGGGTACATGAATTGGGCTTCCCCAAATCCTTCCAAAAACTGTTGTCTAACTAAATTTCCAGTGCTACTGAAAAGGCAAATTATTTCATCTAAAGGGAACAATCAAAAGTAGTTTTTGTCCTTAATGTGTCCCCTTGGGTACATTGTGTTTGTGTACTCCTGTCCTATCAGATCCCCCTTCTAATTATGTTGAACTTTCTTCATGGGTGACCTCATAGATATACTTTCATGATCTTTTCCTAGATGATCTGAATATGACTCACCAACATTGTGTGTTGGCTGGCCGGCAGTCAAGATTCAGCTCCACCCACAGAGTGGCAGAAGTAAGTAACAAAGAAAGGTTGGAATGGTTGTCAGGTGCTAGGAATGTTGTGATAGTGACTAAAGATAGTCCTGGAAAGTGCATTCACTCTGTTCTTTGCAACAGTGTGTAACAATGCTATTGTCTTTTTCTGTTGTTGTTTTTTAATTGGTTTTTTAACTTCCTCCTACAGTCTAAGTTCCTAGGATTTTCTGATATTCTGACATCCAAATGCTAACAGATTCTTTCATGAGATTTTGGCTGGTTGTAGACCATAACAATAAAGTTGTTATTAACTTCATGAGATTTTAACAGGTTTCTAAAAGGGAAAAGAGTATTTTACTTACCACCTTTTCATAACGAGAGTTATTTCACTCTATTTATTGCAACGCAGCTGAAAACTGCAAACAAGACCAATTCACCCTCTGCCCACCTGATCTTTAACAGACTGTGTAATTATGGTATGGGCATAGCACTGTTTATTGAATGTGTCCTTAGCCCACCTGATAATTAAAGTTTTCTAAGCAGAGACAACAGATTACTAATTATATAATATTATAAATGCCTCTTAAAGTGTTAGTTGTTTGTACTTGATAGAAACAATGGAACTCTTTGATCCAGTGATAGTGTTATTCTAATATTAAAATGCACATTTTTTTACTTAGCTACCCTACTCCCATTCCAAAAAAAGAGTGCCTCTCCTTTAGAAGCTCTTCCTTGTTTTTATAAACCTCCATGACCTCGCAGTGGATGGTCTGGACATTTTTGATACAGAGAATTAGAACACCAAGGGGATCCTTTTGGCAAAACTATTCTCCAAGATTTGATGGCACTTCTAAGTAGTAAAAGGTCTATTGTTAGCTCTCTCCCCCATACACTAAAGGGATATTTTGTCTGTGTGGGTGTGTGTTTTGAACAGAAGAAGTTTCTCACCATGCTGTTTTATCCATCTATGTGCACATATTAATCTGGGATTCATTCATTCATTCATTCATTCATTCATTCATTCATTTTTCAAATTTGTTACTGCCCATCTCACTGTAGAGTGACTCTGGGTGGTTTACAGTGAAAAGGATAAATATAATCAGAATAAATATTAATGAAAATGCATTAAAATACAACAAGGTCTCTCTATAAAAATAAATCACTTCCAAGGAACTGATGTTAACTCAAAGTTATTAGACTCGGGTAGTGTCTTCAAGGCAAAAAATGTCTTTTGCAGCATTTACATTTCCTCTTCCCCATTGGAGTGGCTTCACCACTTCTCCTCTTACGGGTGATAAGTCCCAGGCGATTTAGTTCTCTCTACCTCTCTTCATGATACTAGGATGTTACTGTGGTGATGCTGATTCTCCTTTCACATTTTGGGTTGCTAAATCAGTTGCTCCTTGTTTTGGATCTTTATGTTGTGGTTTTGGCTCGACAACTGGAGCATGGAATTATTGTCAGACCTTTCGGCAGCTGCCTAAAACTGAACCTGATTCTGTCTGAACACAATTTCCCGAGTTCTCTTTTGCAAAATTTATTGAAATGAAAAGTACAGTATTACAGCAATTACAGCAGCTGAACACTTTCCCATTTAGAATGACTGTAGTCCTTTTTGTATTCCAGGATAGAGACATTTTATTTTCTTACGATGTTCAGGTGAGGATTGGGGACTCTTCATGAATGATGGGAAAGCTTGCAGCTGCATGTTGATCTACTTCATAAGTCTAGAATCCAAACTCTTACAATTATTTCTGTGAACATTTGCATTGCAGTTTATTTCTTCTTGCTGTGATGGGGTCTTTTCCGCCGTCGGTGGGAGATCAGGACAAAAAGCATGAAAGATGCTAGGTTAACACTTGTCAAGATATCTTTGCATCTTACAGGGATTTTTTGAATTTTTTTTTAATTGGCCGCCTGCAGTTATACATCTCATTGTCATATCTGTTGGGCAAGATTCAGGCTGATTTATGTAGCTCAGCCTTCTCCAACATGGAATTCTTACAATTCCCAGGTAGCAGGACTATTTGGGCTGAAAATATACAAGTTGCAATTCCATATCTCTGGAAGTACTAGATCCAGAAGAGCGGTTTGGTTCCTATTGTGACTAAAAAAAGAGCCATGGAATTCTTAAGAACTTCTTAAAGAATGCACTTGATTTTTTTTTATGTAAAACACAGAAAGAGGACTAGTAAGAGAACCTATTTCAAATACTCTCTAAATTCCTAGATAGGATTTGTGCCGATGCTGACCTCATTTGTACTTTACTCTAAGCCATACTTCATTTAACGATGGTTTGTTGAATAATCCCTCCTTAGTTGTCAATAATGGTTTACAGATCTCACTGACCAGGTTCACATCATCCACTAAATCGTAATAGGGTTTATTTGGCTTTGTGGTAAAATCCCAGTTTTTTTTCACACTAAATTTCTTTCGATGTTCATGAATTCTAACAGTGCTCAACGGGGACCCTACCATATATTCTGGACAAATGCAATGCAGCCCTTGAAAATTTGAACACCGATGCTGATTTGAGGTGCCCATCTCTGAAATCATTGGAAGTTGGAGATATAAAGCGAGTGGAAGAAGCTCACAGTGAGGTAAGAAGATGGAAAGGCTGGGAATTCTGGAAATGTCAGTCTCCACACTTCCCTCCTCCTCTCTGATAACTGCTTCTCCGATCCAAGTCGGGTAGCAGCAGCCGCAGCCGCAGCATCATCATCATCCATCATCCATCATCCATCATCATCATCATCATGATGTTGACCCAACACTTGCTGATCAGCAAAACAACTTCTTTGCATACCTTTCTCTATTTTCTTTTGACTTCTCAGAATTCAGTTTGTTCCCAGGAAAGCATGGTAGGCTCCTTTCTCCACATCAACCATGATTCACTGATTTGTGGTCTTCTCATCGCCCCTTTTCTCCATTCCCTGTGACTTTTGTTTCTTTATCTTTGTTGTTGTCATCAGGGCTGTTGTGAGTGAGGGGATTGATTCCATATGACCCTCCACTGTAAGTTTGCTCTGTGCCCATATATGAAGGGGCCAACTTACTTCTGGTTTCCATTCCTTTAGAGACGCGTGTTTTCCCCAAGTTACCCCTGTAAATGGGAAGCCCAGACATCTGTGATGCTAATGCAGATCTCTGATTCTTTTGTGGTGGGGTGTGTGGGGCGGAGCGGGGGGTGGTGGTGGAAGAGAGGGTTAAAAAAAAAGCCACATGCCCTTTGTATACTAATTATAGGGTAACATTTGGTAAGTTCATGGCCCCTAATTTAACTGGTCTGTTCTGAATCTGCAAGGCGTATGTTTTAAACTAATTTCCATGTTATATATTCTGAATCCTAGAGGGATATTGCAGAACCCCAGAACATTCTATGATACAGGAGATGTTGTTGGTGAAACAAAGGAAACAATGATAAAAATAGTGATACCACTGCTCTTCCTTCCTTCCTCCCTCCCTCCCTCCTTTCCTTCCTCTCTCTCTCATCTCCCTCCCTCCCTCCCTCCCTCTCATCTTCCTTCCTTTCCCCCTTCTCCCTCCCTCCCTCCCTCTCCCTCTCTCTCCCTCTCTCTCGTCTTCCTTCCTTCCCCCTCTCTCTTTCTTCC